CCCTCATCCTCATCTTCCTTCTTCATCCTTCTCTATCTTCTCCTTCTCCTCCCTCATCCTTGGAGGTTTTCTACTCCAGCCCCCTGCTCAAGCAGGAGACCCTATACTATTTCAGACAAATGGCTATCTAGTATTTTCTTAAAAACCTCCAGTGATGGAGCCACCCACAACTTCTGAAGGCAACTTCTGTTCCCTATGGGGATTGGGAGGGGGCTGGGCTTCCATTGGAGTGGCCCCACATCGTGATTGCGTAAGCACACCGACGTGCCTACCATCCCTGTCCTATTGTTTCTTTTTATTTTTCTTATATGTATCCATTTCATGTATTCATAACTATGTTTATACTTATACCTATTATCTTGTAAGTGATTGACAAATCAAATCAATAAATACATGAGCACCATTTCAATGCCCGAAGGACCCGTTGCAATTCCCAGGAACCAGATCAGGGGTTGAGTTTGGGCCAAAGTTAACCAGACACAAGCCATGGTTTCACACTGAACTCAGGAAGGTGCTCCATGATAATTAGGGGATAGCAGAAGGAAAAAACAGTGAATTCTAGAATGCATAAACCACACCTGACTTTGGGAAGCAAGTCATGAGACCAGAGGTGGTATTCAGCTGGTTCGGGCCGGTTCTGACGTACCGGTAGCGGAAATTTTGACCAATTCAGAGAACCGGCAAATACCTCCTCTAATTGGGCCTGCCCTTTTCCGTCCTATATTCCATTGACTTTCAGCTGAGCTGATTTGTGCGCCACGCCTCAGCTGAGCTAAAAAAACAGCTCCCCTCACTGAGGTTGGTTTTTGAGTGCTGCACACAGGCGCAAACCGGTAGCACATAATTTGGAATCCCACCACTGCATGAGAGTATATTTGTTTGCCTTTGCTAGCTGCTCCTGTGAATTTTAAATGAGAAGGCACATTGTAATCGCTGTTTTGAGGCCACTAATATCCCGTTGTTACTGTCGTAACTTTATTTAATTTCCTCTTTAGATGCAGAGTTACTTCGGGACCTGTCTCAAGGATCGGTAGCTGAGGACAAACTAAGCACTCTGGCTCAACAGCAGCTGAAGGAGCTGACCCACGCCATGCAGTGTGAGTTTTATGTGTCATGAACTCAATCCTATACTAGATAACAATTGTGTACCTATAACAATGCACCCTTCCCAATTTTTGTTCCTTTATCTCTTATGAAAAGCAAGATTTGTTTCTTCTGTACTCTAAGCCTTCGGTGTTAGGTCTTAGCAGACTGTGGGTGTGATGGACAAAATCTGAATTTTAAGCTCCATGTTTCCCCAACCTTGGCAACTTTAAGAAACAGAGAGTTCAATTCCCAGAGTTGTATTTCCCAAATATGGAAAGCAAAATACACGGTCATTGCAGCATTTGATGACCCAACTAGGTCAGTGGTGGCTAATCTTTTTGGGCTCCTGTGCCAAAAACTGTGCACGCGCTTGCACACTTGCATTCGTGTGCCAGCATCCAGAAGGCAATGTGCACCCCCCCATGGCCCCTACACATGCAACCCCCACCCACCCCCTCCGCCCCCTTACCTGCACTGCACCTCACAGCTCATTTTCAGCCAGTTTGAGGCCTTTTTTGGCCTCCCAGAGGCTTGAGGACGGCTTCTGCAGGCCGAAAACTAGCCCCGCTTCATCATTTCCGGTATTTTCGGAAAAACAGGAAGTGACAAAATAGGGCTAGTTTTCAGCCTGCAGAAGCCGTCCTCAAGCCTTTGGGAGGTTGAAAAAGGCCTCAAACCGGCCGAAAATCAGCTGTGAGACGCGCACATGCCCAGTGAGGTAAGTTTGCCTGCAGCTTGCATGCCGGCACAAATGGCTCTGTATGGCACCTGTGGCATGTGTGCCATAGGTTCGCCATCACAGAACTAGGTAACACCATCAGGTTGCACTGCTGATGTTACCTAGTTAGGTAATTAAATGTCTGCAAAGAAACAACCAAGCTCAGGGAGTACCAAGAACCCCATAATCCTTCTTCTCATCGCCTCTCTCCTTTTCTCCATAAGACTCCTATTTTAGCACTGATGATGTTACTTAGTTGGGTAATAAAACGTCTGCAAAGGAACAACCAAGCTCGGAGAGTATCAAGAACCCTATAGACAACCTCCTCCTCTTCTTCTCCTCCCTTTCCCCCTCCTCTTCTTCCTCCTCTTCCTCCTCTCCACAATCCACCCCCCCCCTTTTAGCACTGATGATGTTACCTAATTGGGAAACAAGGCAAGAAAACAGCCAAGCTTACAGAGCGCCAAAATCCCCATAGGGGCAGTGATGGCTAACCTTTTCCATGTTGTGTACCAAAAGTGTGCATGCATGCATGTATGCCAGGGGTGGGATTCTATCAGTTTGCACCTATTCGCTAGAACCGGTTGTTACCATTCTAAGCAGTTCGGAGAACCGGTTGTTAGAAGAAATTACTGGCCTAATCCTGTAAGGAAGGCAGGAAGGAAACATTCTGGTGTTGCTTACAGAAACTGCCTCTCCACCCTTATTACATTCTTGGCAGGACTAGACTTCCTGTCTCTGGAACTTCTCTGGAGTTTTTCCCCCTCCTTTGCTGGTACTTTGCTTGTGTGGAGTGACCATTCAAAGTTACAATGGCACTGAAAAAAGTGACTTATGACCATTTTTCACAACTGTTGCAGCATCCCCACAGTCATGAGAGGCCAGGCGAGGAGATGCGTGCCTCGATGTGAGTGATGTTGAGTTGGCCACACCCAGCCAATCACATGACCACCAAGCCACGCCCACCCAATCACATGACCACCAAGCCACGCCCACCCAATCACATGACCATCAAGCCACACCCACCAACTAAGCCACACCCACAGAACCGGTTGTTAAAAAATTTGAATCCCACCCCTGATGCATGCGCTCTCACATGCCTGCACCCATGATGCAATGCGTGCGTGACTCTCCCTGCCCCCTGTGCATGCACGCACAACCCTGTGTGCACACTGCATGCCTCTGTGCATGTGCACACAACTCCCCCCCATACACTGCATGCCTCTGTGTATGCGCAGCAGATACCCAACAGTCAGCTGGCTGGTGGGAGGCACACAAGCATGCACAGTGGGGCTCTTCCAGGTGACCTCTCGCATGCCGGCAGAAGTGGCTCTGCGTGCCACTTCTGGCATGCATGCCATAGGTTCACCATCATGGCCATAGGGCAAAGGTTTTCTGAATTTGCACCATTTGCACCCGCTTTTAGAAGTTTCTCCAAAGCTTGTCCTTGAAATTGAGTAATTCCCTGGACTCACTCATCCTGATCTTGAATCCCCGCAGTTGTTAAAGTACAAGCTCTCATCTACTGCACCTGCTCATTGTACCCAGAAGAAAACGAAGTGGTAGTGAACAAAGCGTTGGCATCTGGAGCGGAAGGAGCAAAGGCCCAGCCTTACAAGTAAGGAACACACCCTTCGGCTACTTTTCCTCAGAACGTTTATTTCCAGTGGTGCTGTTTGCATGGTTCCATCTTCAGAATCAGAATAGAGCCAGAAGAGACCTTGGAGGTCTACTAGTCCAACCCCTTCCTCAAGCAGGAGACCCTATACCCGTGATGGCAAACATATGGCACGCGGAGCCATTTGTGCGGGCACACAAGCCCCAGCCAAACTTACCTGCACTGCGCATGTGCGCGCCTCCCAGCTGATTTTCGGTCCATTTGAGGCTGTTTTCGCCCTCCCGGAGGCTCGAGGAAAACCTCTGCAGCCTCAGGAGGCTGAAAAATGGGTCTTCCGGAAATACTGGAAATGGGCCTGTTTTTCAACCTCCAAAGGCTGCAGAGGCTTCCCTCGAGCCCCTGGGAGAGCAAAAACAGCCTCAAACGGGCCAAAAATACACCACTCAAACCCCGAGGACACATAAACCTCCAAGTGGCCTCAGCGACTCTCTAAAAGGATGCAAATGACCAGCTACCTGCAAGGAGTATAAATCCTTCCGTTCCCCACCATCCGGTCAGAGGTGAAGAAGCTTCTCAGATGAGAAACAAAACGTCTTCAAGGAAAATCAAAGTCCCTTGGCCCTTTGAAAGATCACCTTTGGGACAAAAATCCTTTGGTTCTTCATTTAGTGACCAAACAACTTAGTCCCAGGTGCTTATCAGCACAGCTTTTGAACATTAGAGAGAGAGAGAGAGAGAGAGAGAAAGAGAAAGAGAGAAAGAGAAAGAGAGACCATGAATTGAGTCGATGTATTTGACATAATGCCTTCCGCATCCTGTGTTTCAATTCTTGCAGGCTTTGTCCCCCAGTTCTTCCTTTGTGTTCCAAGTCAGAAGTCAACATCTCTGAACAGAACTTCTTCCGGTTGGAGCCCTCAGAGATTTCAAATAGCTGTTTTATTGCAGTTTTAACCCGAGAGGTAAAGCCATGAATTTCATTACAGCTCATGAGGGAGGGGAATGTGGTATTATCCTCTCTAGTTGAATACTGATCAATATATTACAATATTAGTTTCCCACTCCTAGTGAAACAGGCCCCAGAATTCTTGTTTTCAAACTTCTAATTCTGTTTACAAATTATTAACCTATTACCTGTCTATTATGTGTGTGTGTATATATGTGTGTGTGTATATATATATATAATATAGCGTGTGTATATTATACCATATATATGTATGCGTATGTGTGTCTATGCACGCGTGCACATACACATGTGTGTGTGTGTGTGTGTGTATAAAAGCGAAATACCACTCACTCATCATCACAAAATCTCCAGAACCGTAAAGCTTACAAACTTGAAATTTGGCACTTATGTTCCTCTTGGCTTCTAAGGGCTCACTAAGAAAGGATTTTTCGAAATGACCATCAGAGCATTAGTATTTCCTATATTATTACTATTAACATGTTCTGATGCTAACGAGTTCTAATCCCCCTCCCCACCTGAAAAGAAATCTCTTCCAAATGCAAAACACAAGCAGAGGAGTTTCAGTTTCACAGCACCAAGTAGCTTTAGTACACAACAGTTGAGCTAAGCCACGCCCAGGCTCTTTGCTGTCTCCTTCTTGCTCACACAGCAAATACGGTTTCAGTTTCCAAACAGCCCTCAACTCACACACTGACAGGACACTAGCCAGATGAATATCGATGGATGCTGGTAGGCAGAGGCAGAGACTTATTTTCCTCCCCCAAAACTAAGCCCCCACCGCAATGTTTCATAGCGAAGCACATGTATCGAGCTAGTATTACTTTATTACTACCGTGTTTCTCATATAATAAGGCCGGGTCTTATTTTTTTTGGAGACCTGAAAAAATGGCTAGGCTGTCTTTTCGGGGGTGACTTAATTCCCCCCCTTGCATCTTTGGGCGGGTGGGAGGCGACGGCTTGGATGTTGACCTCGGCGTTGGTGAGGCACTTAGTATCGGGGTCAATGCAGGCAGCACCATATCCGGGTGTGCACCATTCCCCTCCTATTTCGCATGTTTTAATATAGGCCTTAATTTGGGGGGAGGGGCTTAATTTCATTTCATGCCTATAAAACATGCTGGGACTTCCTATTGGGGGAGGCCGTATTGTTGGAGAAACAGGGTATATTAATGCCAAATAATGGGTAGAACAGAAGGTTTTTAAAATATACTTTTTAGATGTTTTGCTTACTTGTTTTTTGTTTTTGTTTTGCTTCTGTGATTTCCCTCCACCCCTTTATTGGGAGTTTTGTATTTGAACTTCTGAATAATGATTTAAAAAGAAAATGAGAAAGGGGAGCTAAGCTTGATTGTCTGTACAGACATTTGGAATACAGACTTACAAGCTTTTCATTCCATAAAATGCAACTAGCTACCATTAGCCCTACGGTACTGAGTAAAATACAAGTAGTGCTCGCCTTATAACCACAATTGACCCTAAAATTTATGCTGCAAAGCGGAACATTGGTTAAGTGAGTTCTATAACCTTCCTTGCCACAGTTCAGTGAATCATTGGCAATTGTTAAGCTAGTAACCCGGTTAAGCAAAGCTGGCTTCCCCATTGACATTGCTTGTTGGAACTTATGTTTATGACAGTTGCCATGTCCTGGGGGGTCTGACAAGCCAAGCCAACGGGGAAGCCCGACTCAGTTAACGTCCGCACCATCGCCTTAACCACTGCAATGATTCCCTGAACAACTTTGGCAAGGGACTGTTGTGGTTCACCGGCAGCTGGTGCAGGTGGCAGCGAAATTGGACAGTGAGGAAGAAAGGGGACCAGTCAGGGAGTCTGAAGAGGACTTGGACGAAGGTCCTGCATCCGATGCAGAGATGGGGCCAGGACCATCTGGGAGTGGGGCGGTGCCTCCGGAGCCTCCGGAGTCTGGCAGCAGTGAGGCAGAGGAACAAGGGGAGCCTGTTCCCAGTGTGGGTGTGCACAGAGCTGCTAGAAGGTGAGAGCAGCTGAGACAAAAGGGGCGACTCAGGAGTAAGGCTGGGAGGTGATTGCCCCTCCCATAAGGGATAAAAGTCAGACGTCAATGACGAAACCTTTGCAGGAAGCAAAGTAGTTTGATAGATTTCGAGTCCTCCTTGAAGCTCTGTGAAATCTGGTTGTTTTTTTCTGGTACTTCGGTTGGTTTCTGTTATCATTAATTGGATACTTCTGTTTCTGGCAGCATTCCACAGCACTGAAAGATGTGTGCTTATCTTGGGGAACTGTTTAAGATTAGTTCTGGCTGGGAATGAAAGCAATTCCCAGCATTGCAATAAAATAGGTTTTGCTTTTAAAAGAAGTTTGTGTTTAATTACATTTGACGAAGCTTGGGTTCGTCAGGGGGGGGTGTCATAAAATGGGGTGAACCTCACTGAACCAATGTTCTCGCTTAGCAACCTTCATTTCGGGGCTTCCTTGTCGCCGTTAAATTGAGGACTGCCCATATTCCAATAACTGTTCCGGGGGGGGGGGGGGGGGGGGGGGGGACTTCCGGCTTGGCTAATCGGTGTTCCTTTGCTTGTTTTTTATAGCGCGATCCATCTGAATCGGTGTCCGTGAAGGACGTTTTGGCCCGTGCCGCGGCCAAAGGCCTGTTGGACGGGATCGACCTGGCCAAGCCATCCAAGAGAGAAGAGAAAAAGAAGAAGAAACACCGAGCCGCCCCGTCGAAGAATCCAATTAAAGAGGCCGTGATGCAATCCCGGATTCAGGAGTTCCTGGAACGAGAGATGAAATCTGGGACGATGGAGACTGCCTCTCCCGGGTCAAAGGTGCCTTCCAGCAGCTCTCAGGTGATGAACCAAGCCAGCGAGCCCATCACCTTGAAGAAAGCGACCAGCCCTCTTTCGAACTCATCTCTGCCCATAATGGCCAAGAATAATCTCACCGCCACCTCCACCATGCAAAAGGTCTTGGAGAAACAACGGAATGCCGGGAAGGCCAGGAACGATGACCGAGTCATGATTTTGAAGCCGGTTGAGATTGTCCTCCCCCCGGTGATGATGCCGTATTTTAACCCCCAAGGGAACAGGGCCCAGATTTCCACGAACCACTGTTACTACCGCTGGTTCGGGGCAAAACACGGGGCACTCAGCCCTTCGGCATCCAAAAGACTGATTAAGTCCAAAGAGCCTTCCTCGTCTACAGCAACCAAGCACTCTCGTCCGTGGCTTTGAAGTTTGACTGCCATCTTGGTTTCTTTTGTTTTTGTTTTGTTTTTCCACACACACCCCCGCAGAATTTGAGACCGATTTTCATTTAACAAGTCAGCTCCCTGAATATCGTTTTGGGCCCTAAAGTGCTTTTAGAAAAGAAATTGGAAACCTGGACCTCTTTTTGAGGTAATTAACAAACGAGCTGTTTTACAAATTAACAAACGAGCTGGTTTTTTTTAAAATTATTATGATGTCATGCTTGCGTCCAGTTTCGGTACCTTTTGAATGTCAACCCCCCCCCCCAAAAAAGCACACTTGGATTATCATTGGAGGGAACTTTATATAAAGTTTGATGCGGGCTAGAGCTAATTAGTATGTTAAGCCAGGACAGACCTACTTGTGTCTGAATGGCTTTGAAGCGACTTGAATTTGTAAAGGTGAACTGTAAACGAAAACCAGGGCGGGGGGGCTACATAGAAAAATAAAAGAGGCTTCGTTTTTAATCCCCCCCGAGATATTTCAGATCATTTTTTTTTTCTTGGGAATTGGGAATGCGTTCCCTGTTTCTGACTTTAGTTTCTGACCTCAACTGATCTTTGTAGAGACTCCCGCTGGATTAAAAGCCCACTCTTAAGAAAGAACCGCACTTTGAAAAGTACAAACTGGCTTTGGAAGAGAAATCCTAACTAAACAACAGACATTTGGATTTCAAGAGGCTTTTTTTCTGGCGTTGGTGTCACTATTAACACGCTTTCCTTCGGCTTCCACGTGATCCTGGGCTTCATTAGCAACTCAGTATAAATCATCAAGTTATTAACGCCGTACGGTTGACTGGAAACGGAGCATATTAAACAATTCCTGATTAATTCTTTTCTTGGCTTCTTTAAAAAAAACCAATGATTTCTTTTCCCCTGCCAAAAACAGTGAGCGAATCTGGTTATAATGTATGCCATGTCGGAACCAATTTGTGGGTTCTAGAAATAAGGTTCTTCATAACCGTCGATTAATGGCATCCTTTCTAGACTAATCGATGGGCATTTCCTGATTTCAATTATAAACTTGCTTCTAGAAATCGTACAGGCAGTCCCTGACTTAACAACCACAATGGAGCCAGTGGTGGAATTCAAAATATTTTACTACCGGTTCTGTGGGTGTGTGCAGAGCGTTCTAAAACAGGCAATTTTAAGCATGAAAACTTGCCGACAGCGCTGGTGAGTAAAACAGCTGAGGTGCAGAATCCTCACTGCCATGCCTATCAGCTGAGCTACAAAAGAAATATAGGACAGGAAAGGGGGGAAATGGGTGGGCGGGGCCGACTGCTGACCAGCGCTACCGGATTGTTAGAACCGGTGTGAACCGATAGCATACCACCACTGAACGGAGCCCCCCAAAATTGATGTTAAGCGAGACACTGGTCAAGTGAGTTTCACTCTGTTTTATGACCTTTCTTGCCTCCCTCCTGATTGTCAAGTGAATCATTGCGGTTGCGAAGCTAGGTTTGTTAAAAGTGAATCAGGCCTCCCCATTGACTTGAAAGTCGCAAAAGCGGATCACGTGACCTCGGGACACAACAGAGATCATGAATATTGAACCCGCTGCCGAGGCCTCTGAATTTTGATCACATGATCATGAGGATACTGGAAGGGCCGTGTGAAAAACAACCGTAAGCCACTTTTTTGAGTGCCCGTGTAAATTTGAACTAAATGAACTGTTGTAAGTCGAGGATTAACCTGTAGTTTGGCTAAGCTACTGAGCTTCTCCAGAGTCTGGTCCCACATTTTCAGTTAATTCAGCTCTAGGTTCAGGGGTGGATTCAGCCAGTATGGACTGGTTTGGGTGAACTGGTAGTTCCAGCGATGAGTTGGCCCTGCCCACCCACCCCTGTGCTAGTCTGTCCCATATTTCCTTTGTTTGAATCCTGTTGTGGTTCGCCAGCAGCCTGTGCAGATTGCAGCGGAATCGTACAGTGGGGAAGAACGGGGACCAGTCCGGGAGTCTCCAATGCGGAGTGGGGAAGAACGGGGACCAGTCCGGGAGTCTCCAATGCGGAGATGGGGCCAGTACCATCAGTAGGGTGCTGACTGGAGTCTCCGGAGTCTGGCAGCAGTGAGGCAGAGGAACAAGGGGAGTCTGTTCTCAGTGCGTGTGTGCACAGAGCTGCTAGAAGGCAAAAGCAGCTGAGACAAAGGGGGCAACTTGGGCGTAAGGATGGGAGGTGATTGCCCTTCCCATAAAGGATAAAGGAGGTGCAGAGGTAGAGAAACCTTTGCAGGAAGCAAAGTCATTCGCTCTGTTCGGATTAAACCTTGAAGCTGTTTGGATGATGTACTTAGGTTGGTTTTTTTACATTTAATTTGACACTTTAGTTGTTGGCAGCAATTCAAAGGAAAGAAAGGTGGGTGCTTATCTTGAGGAACTGTTTGGACTAAGCATGTCTCAGGAAGCCTTGGTCGGAACAAAGCTCAGCTGATAGGCATGGCAGTTTGGATTGCCTTACCTCAATTGTTTTCCTCACCATGGCTGCAGTAGATGGTTAAGTTTTAGAGGTGTTTTCAAACACCCCCTGCGCACTGCATGCTCACCAAACCGGTTGTTACACCAGTTGAATCCCACCGCTCTCTAGGTTGCATTGTGTTGTATTTTAGCCGCTACATCATTGCTTGCTTATGATTAGCTAATAACTTTAGCTCTCCAACTTGCTTTGCTCCAAACAGCTGGCTGGGGAATTTCTGGGAGTTGAAGTCCACAAGTCTTAAAAGTTGCCAAGGGTTTGACGCAGCTTGTTTTAGAAGAGAACAAATTAGTATATTCTTTCGTTGAGTGCACCGGTATCCATAACAAGGGTTAAAAAAAAGAAAATCCAGTCAAGATTATGACTAAAGTTCCAATTTATGTATAGCCTTAATTCTCATGATGGAAGACACCATTTTATTTCATTTTTTAAAGTTACCCTAGCAAAATGCTCTTATTGATAAACACGTTTGGAGCAATGCAAAATACAATAGCAAAATCTGCTAAAAAATTACTGCCCCCCCCCCTGCCCACTTTCAGCCTGGCGAAATGACCACTCCCAAAGTTCAATGAATGTGCAGACAAAACGGTTCATGTAATTAAATTTATTCTTGCAATGGATTACATTTAAAGGTGTCAGAGGTGGACAGTGTCTGGGAGGGAAGGAAAAAGAACATTTTATTTCAAAACAGAGCATTTCACCTAAACACAAGGAGCTCTCACTGATACCAACTCGGTGTGTTTTTGTTCCGTTCCCTTGGACGGAAAGGGAGGGGGGAATAAAACGTACATATTTTTCTTTGAAACTCGTGATGCCAGAGAGAGTTGCCAAGGATCAAAATGACAAGAGGTCTAGATCAAGACAATTCGAGAGAGGCAGTGATTTTTGAAGGACGACACCATAAATCTCGTTGTTTATGGAGATTATCATCCAGGTCAGGGTTGTATTTCTTTTCCCCAAAAGGCAACTGGATGTTATTTTTTCTGGAAGACGTTTCGCTTCTCATCCGAGAACTGAAGAAGCTTCTTTGATGAGAAGCGAAATGTCTTCTCATCAAAGGAGAAACTTTAAAAGAAGGAGAAACCTTCTGAGAGTGAGAACAATCAACCCATGGAACGGAAGTTGCCCTCAGAAGTTGTGGGAGCGCCATCATTTGAGACTTTCAAGAAGAGATTGGACTCCCATCTATCAGAAATGGTGTAGGGTCTCCTGCTTGGGCAGGGGGCTGGACTAGATGACCTACAAGGTCCCTTCCTCTTATTATCTGTTATCTGTCTTCAAAGGGAAAACAAAGTCCAGTTGCCTTTGGGGAGGGGGAACAATAAAAGTAGATTTTTTTTCTGCATTAGATGAGCCTGCTCTGTTTCATTGCCTCCAAAATTCTTCTTAAAAAAAGCAATTCTTGGAAATTTGCAAAATGCTTTTCAAAGTGATGGATAAAACACATTCCACCTGTCCCTTTATCCCAAGCCTGATAATTCTGCACCCAGAGTTTAATCAGGGAGAAACTCCTTGACTTAGAAAATGGAATTTCATGCAGTTTCTTTTGTCTTGTTAGTAGCTCTTCATTTTTATTTTTTTGAACGAGGCCATGAATCTCGTTTAAATCGATGCTGGGTGGACCAAGGCAGAGAAAAGGCAGGAAGTGATTACAAATTAGTTCAATTATAATTAACCCCCTTTCTGGAGTAGATCAGTGAGGTTGCCCAGTGAAAGCAGAATCTAACTTGGCTTGTGTGTTTCCAAAACAAAAAAAGAGAAGCCATTACACGTCATTTTATCATTTTCTCTTACGTCGTTAAAAAGGTCGACTACAAATAATAGGAAATTCCTCCCTATGATACACTGTGTTTAGTTAGGGCTGGATTGATGGGTTGAGTTTGCACCTGGCTGCTCCATAAATGGGATAATTTGGTAAAAAATAAAATACAGATAGTCCTCAACTTACAACAGTTCATTTAAGTAACCTCTCAAAGTTACAGTGCCACTGGAAAAAAAGTGAACGTTGTTATGAATGTAGTTTTTCACTCGGGACAGCATCCCTCATGGTCACGCGAGCAAATTTCAGGCACTCGGCACAACTGGTTCACATTTATGATGGCCGCGGCCATCCCGAGGTTGCGCAATCCCCCTTTGGCAAAAGTCCACGGGAAAGTCAGCTTCGCTTAATGATGGTGTTACAAATTTAACATCTGCAGCGATTTGCTGAAAACAAACATGGCAAGAGATGAGGCGAAAGTCACTTCACAAAACATTGTGCTCAGCAGCATAAAATTTGGGGGCTCAAACCGTGGTCGTAAGGCGAGGACCACCTGTGAAAACATTGGAAGCTGCATTGAATTGGTTCATCCCAAATGGACCAGGCATCGCTCCTTACAAAGAGACAGAGGAGAATGCATAGATCACAGAAGCAGCACAACAAACGCTCTGTAAATGCATTGGGGTTTGTTCACACTTGTCATCCGTTTGCTGGGGGAGGGTGGGGGGAAGAACCTGGTTTATTGGATACAGAAAATACCATCCTGAACTTGCTCGCCCACCAGGAGTTTCCAAAACTGTTTCTCTCAACGAAAGCTAAGTCGAAGGCCCTTCAGAAAAATCAGATTTAAGATGTTTCAAGTGTGTTCCAAAAACTTGACTTCAAATGGGTTTGTTGCCAGCCAGCCCAGCTCAACACTGAAATTTTATTCAAATTTAAAACTAGTCTATGGAGATTCTCCATTATCCACGGTTGTCCCAAAGTTGCTTTTCCAAAACCAACTGTATTTTCTTGGTGTTTGGTTCCCCGCAAAAAACGTTTCACTTCTCATCCAGGAAGCTTCATCAGTTCTGAACTGAAGAAGTTTCTTGGCTGAGAAGGGAAGTGATTCTGTGTATTGCCTAAGCCCGTTTTTCTGGAACACACATTTGGCAAGCAACGGAGAACACAAAATCTTATTTGTTTTGGGCTGCTATCCAAAGGAATAAGGTAAAGGTAAACGTTCCCCTCGCACATACATGCTAGTCGTTTCCGGCTCTAGGGGGCAGTGCTCATCTCCGTTACAAAGCCGAAGAAACAGTGCTGTCTGAAGACGTCTCTATGGTCATGTGGCTGGCATGACTAAACGCCCAAAGTGCACAGAACGCGGTCCCTATTTTTCTACTTGCATTTTTTACGTGCTTTCAAACTGCCAGGTTGGCAGAAGCTGGGACAAGTAATGGGAGCTCACTCCACTATGCGGCGCTAGGGATTCGAACCACTGAACTGCCAATTTTTCTGATCGACAAGCTCAGTGTCTTAGCCACTGAGCCACTGCATCCCTTAACTGAAGGAATAAGGAGTTTTAAATCCAAAGGTGTTTTTCCAAAAGGCAATTGGATTTCCTTGTTGTTTTTCCTTGAAAATGTTTTGCTTCTCATCCAGGAAGCTTCTTCAGTTCTCCTTGGATGAGAAGTGAAACGATTTCACTTAAGTCCTCAAAAAAAACCCACCCCTTTTATCGGAGTTGTTTGGAAGAATAATAACAACCTGGGTACAAAACCTACAACTATTGATGGTCGAAAGAATAGCTACAATAAAAATGAATATTCTACTGAAGTTATTATTCTTGTTCCAAACAATTCTGAAATGAAACTATTTCAAGGGGGGGGGAAAAGTCCAACTGAAAGAAAGAAAGTCAAATTGCCATTTGGAAAAAGCACCTTTGGTGCTTTTTAAAACTCCTATTCCTTTGGTCAACAACCCCAAAATAAAAATATTTCATGTTCTCCGTTGGCTGCCAAACAGATGAATGTTTCAGAAAAACGAGCGAAGGGAATACACAGAATTCCTGGGTAGGGGCATCCATAGGGTAGGTTTCATGTCAACAAATTCAAAATGGTGGCCAGAACCATCCAACACAGCCCCGCCCTCTTATCTCGAAAAGGGGCAGGGATCAAGGCCACCATTCTGATTTTTTGAGGTGGTCAATATGGGCTCTTCCCAGTTCCTGGCTTAAAATTGGAAGTTTATTCCACATTGTTTGTTCCATTACGAGATTATTCCAAATGAACAATGGAAAAGAATAAACATTAATAATTAGCGTGCAGTTTCTGAAAAAAAGGATGGGGATTTTTTTTTAAAAAAAAAAATTGAGTCCTTCAACAGAGCTGCAACTGGCGGCCTTAGTTAAGCGAGTTAAGGAAAACTTGGTTTATTGTTTCCATTTTTGTAACAGCCGGTAAATTTTCATACCCATGTAGGTTAGTTTATTTCCCTCACCCAGAAGTATGTCTTCTTTGCATAGGTGGTGATGTCAGAACATCAGACAATAATTGCCTTGCTCTAAAAGTTTCATTGACCTGAATTGTACATATACACAAATATCTATCTAGACAGCTGTACAGCTTAAAAACAGAGGAAGACTGTGGTTGTCGATGTGGAGCCCTGTGAACTAGTTCACACATGCACAAGAAGTCAACTCTTGGATTCGTGGACTGCTGCCCTGGGAAGCAGTGGGTTGAAGGGGATGTGATTGTATCACCATCCTTTTGATGTTCTGGTGTGAATCACAGGTGATTTTCTGCTGCCTGTAAAAGGTAAGGGTTTCCTTCACACATATGTGCTAGTTGTTTGTGGCTCTAGCGGGCAGTGCTCATCTCCATTACAAAGCTGAAGAGCCATCACTGTCCGAAGACATCTCCGTGGTCATGTGGCCGGCATGACTAAACACCGAAGGTGCATGGAAAGCTGTTACCTTCCCACCAAAGTGGTCCCTATTATTCTACTTGCATTTTTATATGCTTTTGAATTGCTAGGCTGGCAGAAGCTGGGACAAGGAATGGAAGCTCACTCCATGACGCGGCACTAGGGATTAGAACTGCTGACCTTTCTGATCGACAAGCTCAGCACCTTAATATCAAAAGCTTAACTCGTCATTGAACAAAGCAAAACAACTGTTCTTTGGAGCAAGAAAGGTGCAGGCTTTTATGAGATAACTGAAGAAATTAAAAGTTTGGGAGGTCCACTTTGGCCTTCTACTACTCTCTGTTATTCCCTGTTGCTACTTTTGATTCGTGTGGGTCTCTGGCTTGGGGCCAGTTTACAGCAAGCAGCTCTATACTTGCGTAGGAAAAGAGCACACTTATGAAGTGGTGTTTAGGCTGATACAAAATTGTGTCAAGCGTAAGCAGAAGAGACGAGGGTTGGGAAGGCATGATTGATGCTTTTCTTAGAGCTGGAAAAAAACAATTGTCCAAGGACCTCTAATGTCTCTCAAGGTTAGATCTTGCTGTAGCAACCACTGTCCAAACCAATTAAAGGGGCAGTTCAAAGAAGGTGGTTGGTTTTTTTTGTTTCCAAACTTGGAAACTTTCAAGACCTCGGACTTTCATCTCCAAGAATTCCCCGGCCAGTCAGGTTGGGGAATTCTGGGAGATGAAGTCCACAACGATTGGAAGTTGCCAAGTTTGAGAAACCTTGTTCTAGGCTGATGGATGCTAGGACTTCCTATCTTCTTTTAGACGGGACAGGAGCAGAGTGAGGTTATAGCTTGTTAAGCGCGCCCTTTTTGAATGCTTGGTCAAGTTGGCATCATGGTTCCATTGGTCCCTCTCCAAGTTGCTGTGACCCAAGAGCATCGGTGAACAGATCATTTTGCTTCAAAGAAATCTCAGGCGGCCTCCCTAGTCTTCCTCTTGAGACCATCACTTCACTTCCTCCATTGCCTCCCCAAAGAGGTCTGTCCGTCCCTGGGGAATTCTAAGCCTTTTCCTCTGGCAGGGCATCAAGTGGGACTCACGTGACACGGTATACAAAGGATCAAAAGGACACACAAAAAGGCAGGAGTGGGATGCTGCTGGTAGAACAACCAGTTCGGTGATCGCAGGCTTTGAACGCTGCGCGTGCGTGAACAGCAATGCAAAAATCCTTACCTGCTATGTTACTTTGGGGGAGTAACACAGCTGAGGAGCGGCAATCCACTCTTCCGCGCGCTGATCAGCTGAGACGATAAAGTTCAGTGCAGTGCAGGGGCGAGCGGGCGGGCCCACGTGATTGTCGGAGCGAACTGGTTCACTCCCAGCTGATCTTCAGAGTGAACCAGTTAGCCCGAACCAGTCCGAAGTGGCAGAATCCCACCTCTGACAAAAGGGATTAAACAGTCAACAGCCACAAAGGGCACCAGCCAGGTGTGATCCCAACATCCAGATGTCAGCCACAGCACTGAGATCGAAGCACCACCTGCGATGCCTGTAAGAATCAGGTGGTGCTTCAATGCCGGCCTTGTGGCCATCATCTTGACTTTTGTTTTTTCGGGTTTTTTTTTGTTTAACCAAACCTTGCCGACACTCCTGATCAATGGAAACCACACCGTTGTGTAAAGGTGTGATAACAAAATAGAAGGAAACCACCACAGGGTGCTCGGTGTGACATGTGTGGCTTGGACTTCCCGAAGCCAAACCACCGTACATCTATTGGCATTTCAACCCAAACCTCTACCTGGAAAGCATGGCTTTTTAGGTCAACCTCACCGTCCAATAAAAGTTCCTAAGAAAGCTGCAAAGTAGAACGGATCTCGCAGAACAAAAAAAATAAAAGGACATGATTTGAATGTCCGGGACTTCAGTCAAGAGGAAATCCAGGTTGTTTCCGTGCAAATCTATCCGTAAGAAAATTAACTAGTGAACATTCTTTGTTTTCACCCACATTATTTATATATTTATATATATATTATCATGAGGGGAAGCCATCAGTTGTAGCCTCAAGTGGTCAGTTTCGCGCACGCCTCCTGGTGAAATGTAAAAAAGAATAACCTGGATCTATGAAAGGATATAAGAGGCACTTGAGCCTTGGCGCCATAAGCATTGGGGGTGGATTCTGTTCCGAAATAAAACCCAGTCTCTATCCTGCCAAACTTCTCAAACATGGACTTAGTATGTAAACAAACACAATTTTTGGACTGAAGGCCACTTCAAATATGGTGTTGGTTTCCCACGCGGGCAGCCCTTCTCTGGAAAGAAAAACCACGCAAACCACAAAGAGAGATTTTATGCGACAACGGTACACGCCCGTCTTCTTCCCTCTATGTACATTTGTGCTAGAAAGAGACAACGAAGGACAGGTGCTGCAACACTTGGATGTGCGGTGTGACCTATGCATGCACGGGGTTGCCACAAACTGTTGTCACCTAGCTGGCACAATCCTTCCTGCGTGGAGGGGTTTCCTCTCCATGGCAGGACACCTGACTGGCATCTCCGCGTTGACGCGATGACCACGGCGCACAAGATGGAAGGTTAATCACGAATGCTCTTTTGTAAAAAATAAGAAGCTTGGTATTAGTAGTGTAGTAATACAAGAGTTAACTAATACTTGGTGTGTAATTCACTGTTAAAAAAGAGGCATAGTGCTCAGGAGCGGTGAGAATCCTTGGGTTGGGTTCTTTGCAAAGACGAGCGATCATCTGATGCATCCATTCCTTCTTGGATGTATGAATCGAAGTCACGTCCGTCCTATTTACAGTCCGAAAGCAGGCCTTCCATTTCTCGGCTATCTCACATGGAGCAAAAAAAAAAAAAAATCAAATGAACATTTAAAAAAAAAAAGAGGTCATGCTTCTTTTCAATATGACTTGGTGGCGGCAAGAGTGAGAACATGCTTGTCTAATATTATTTTTCCCATTAACTTTTCCGAAAGTGAAGATTTCTGACGGAAGGCCGCCTTCATCCAGTCTTCTTTCTTTGAAACGCGGCTGCTGTTCTGTCCTTTTTCGCACGACATTTCGGGGAACGCCTGGGGTGGCTCACCCACAGGTCCGTCATGGCATGTCAGTCACAGGACGCTTCTGTTTCAAAGTGTCAATCAGGGACAGGACCCCGCGTTTCACGTTGGTGGTGACCCGTCTTGTCACAGAGTCTGCCGGAGGCGGAGGAGGGCGGACTTTCTGCGAAAGAGGTCGGGCGACCAAACACTTCTGATACCGCAGCTGCAACACAACAAAGGTATATCAACATCGTAAGGTAGCTTTGCAGGCTACCTTAAGACTTCCTAAAAGGTTGTTGTTGTTGTTGTTTTAAACCCAGAGACACAGACACAGAATCCCTTGAAAATTTTATTGACAACTAGCTGATAACCCGGTGTTTTATTGACAACTAGCCGATAACCAGGTATTTATTTATCCTAATCCTGTATTAGACAGGAAAAGCCCTGATTTTGGCGACAATTATATTAGTCCTTAAGGATAACCAAAGCCTTGTTGAAAATGTCCGGAACAAATGTAATTTCTAATGTTGGATTTTTCCCCTTACCAGAGAGAGCCCCCTTGTGGAGTACTGTGAAGCTGTTACCATGGCAACTCCACAGCGCTATACAGTAGAAACCATTTTAAGGCAGTACAGTAGAAGCCATTTGAAGGCTGTATCTTAACAGAGTAGGCTACTATTTATAGAACCATCCTACTTACCATACAAGCAGCCTGAACTGCCTCGGAGACGTTGCCAGCATTGGGTTCACACCAGAAGACATGGCACTCAAAATGCTGGTTTCCTGCATCCATAATGAAGGCGAAGGTATGTACGTCTTTTCCCACGCCCATGAAGGACAAGAAGCGGACACGACATTCCACCACAATCTCCTCTTCATCCTAGGTGTGAAGGAAAATTTGTTGCCTTTAACAAATATAAAGGGGCTGGGCTTCAGTTACCCGGTTCTGACCTAGGCTTCACAAAAATCACGATGCAGACTACTTGTTCCGATAAAACCCCTTTTATTTAGGTTAATGTGAATTCCTATCATTCACATCCAGCAAACAGTCTTTCAAGAGTGATTTACAATCACAGACCTTAACCGGCTTGGAGAGTTGCCAGGGCGATAGCTTCCAAGCGCAATGCTGTACAAGGAAATACTTGGCAAGGAGTCTCTGAGAGTCACGAACAAATCTTCACACTAATTAAACAAACTAATTGTCTTCTGCAAACCCCACTCCCCTTTTGCTCCTCTTTATTCCCTATGAGAGGGGCCATTCCCCGTCCACTTGTGTCTTTACTCCTGAGTCAACCCTTGTTCCTTAACTGTGCCCTTCTCCTAGCAGCTCTGTGCATGTGCATACTGGGAACAGGCTCCAGCTGTTTGTCTTCCCCACTGACCTCCGACTCCGAAGGCAGCTGATAATTGTCGGACGGCCCTGGCCCCATCTCTGCCTCTGATGCAAAGCACTCGTCAGAGCCTTCCCCAGACTCCAGGACTGCCCCATGTTCCTCCCCAACCTCCTCACTGTCCAAGTTTGCCACCAGCTCTGCTGACTGCTGGCGGGCCACAACATCCTTCAGATGCATGCACACATACTCACAAAGGTGTCGACCACATATTTCAATTTGACATCATTCATTATCCTAGTGGAGGCTCTTAAAGGAGTTGACACTAAAATATCCAGTGACTGGAATGTGTTATAAAATTTATATAACTTCTAGGTGCATTACTAACGTTTTATGCACCTTGTAGGAATTTAAAAAAAAAAATCTTTAAAAAAAACCCCCTTACTGCTTGGGCTGGATACCTATGGCAATGTTTCTCAACCTAAGCAACTTTATTTTGTGTAGACTTCAAACTGCTTGCTGAGGAATCTAGCCATCTTTAAGATAGCCACGGTTGAGAAATAGTGCCCTGGGGTGCAAAACATACTTAATTTTTCATTATTTCTGTACATAGGTGGCAAGAACACACGCTCCATGGGCCGCATACCATGGCTTAATCGTCTAGTTCAAGTTAATTAACTTTCCAGTTAATTAAGACTGTAGGCAGGATCGATGCAATTCATTTAATTTTCTCTCCCTAAATCTGGGATAATTACCGTTGAAAGCCTCGCTGATTTCAAGGGTTATTTTTTTTTTTGTTTAAATTTTGGAATGCTAATTAAATCGACAATTTGGCTATTTTTGTAAGTGAAGATAGTAGCACATGGGAGATGGGGTGTGTGTGTTGAAAATGCAGCGCAAATTATCCATTGTCACCGCTAAATCTGTTTTGACTGACACTACAGACAGATCTTTCTGCGCTTCGCCCATAACCTTAAAAGGCTTGGATAAAAAAAATAAAGAGAAAAAAATAAAATAAAACAAGGTACCGAAGGACGAAAGAAACAATGTGATCTACAAAATCAACTGGAAGCATTGCAACCAATTCTACACGGGACCAACATCACATCCATTAAAAAAACGGGATCCGTGGACAAGCGCTGGCCGTCAAACGCCACGATTCCAAATCCTGAATCTCTACCCCACCGACAGCAAAACAGCACCAGTTCGATTGGAGCCACAGAAAAATCATTGGCCACGCCACCACCCGCCACGCTCGTGAGTTTATCAGAGCCTGGGGCACTCCGCAAGCTATTCCATCAACAGACACCTTGATATACAACCAGCCTACGAACCAGTGGTGGGATTCAAATTTTTTTACTACCGGTTCTGTGGGCGTGGCTTGGCTTGGTAGGTGTGGCTTGGTAGTCATGGCAGGAGAAGGATACTGTAAAATCTCCATTCTTTCCCCAGACTTCAAAACCTCATTCCCTCCCCACCCCACTAACCTGCTTTCCAGCTCCGTTCTCCTGTGCAGGGCAACCAAAGAAGACCCAGCCGATCAGCTGGGACTTGGGAGGCAGAGAATAGATGGGGGCGGGGCCAGTCAGAGGCGGGATTTGCCAGTTCTCCGAACTACTCAAAATTTCCATTACTGGTTCTCTAGAACTGGTCAGAATCTGCTGAATACCCACCTCTGCTATGAACCCCTCAAAATCCAAATCAACCGCACAGCCCTCCAGAGACAACCAACCCACAAAAGCTCCCTCCACCAGCAGTTCACCTCCCAATGATGCTGACCTGATGTGACCTCTCCATCACAAGACCCTCGCCTGACCCATCAAAAGACCCATCACAAGACCCTGACCCAACAGGAATATCACCTGACATAACCTCCCCATCACAAGTCCCTCACTTCACATGACCACACCTGACCCATCACAAGCCCTTCACCTGAGAGGACCCTCACCTGATGTGACCACATCACAAGACCTACTGACCATACGAAGCAGTGGTGGGATTCAACTTGTTTTACCAGCGGTGTGATGACCCAAAAATAACACAGTCACAAAAGTAGAATAAATTCCCTTTAATGCCTCCAATTTGGGCCTCAATGTCCAATTAAAGTTTGATAATTATATCAAACTTTTCCAAAAACAGACTACGAAGAGAGTAAATGCAGTCCGAACCAAAAGTAAAGATAATTAGAAGTAAAGAAAAACCCAACACAAACCACACTGGAGTCATTAACACGGCAGGTCAGGATGATAAATTGCAGACTTCCACAAGATAATGCAGAAACCATAGTTGGGAAGACACCAAAACCCCGATAAGGCTTGACCAAGATAAGGCACGCTTTGCTTCCAGCAAAGAGCTATTTAAAATGCCCCACTTATATCCTGTTTTCCCAGCTGCAACTAATGAAAGGGGTCAGGGCCCTTTCCTCTCCCGTAAGCCACATTGCTCCCTTCTCCATTCCTCCCTGCATGCCCTAGGATGAAGAGGGGATGGCCCTGGGTCTTCCTCTGAATGCCCAGCCGGACTGTGCCCTTCCCCCGTTTCTCCCACAGCCACCGGAGCCACACTCCCACTCCCTGTCAGCTCCTCAATCTCTCCCTCAGAGTCAGACTCCAACAAGAGCATGACAACTGGTTCGGTGGGTGTGGCTTGGTGGGCACGCTTTGCGCGCACGCAGAGGGTTTCCTACGGACCTTCTCCTGTAATCCTGCACTCTCCCTGTGTTCAACTGCTGACACGCGGCAATCCGCCGTGCTGCGTGAAGCAGCTGAGGTTGAAAAGCAGGAAATACTGGTCAGTATGGAGCCGGGGCAGGTGGGGTGGCCCAGCAGCTGATCGTTGGAACAAACCGGTTTGCTTGAACTGAGCCGAACTGGTAGAATGCCACCACTGATACGAAGCCCTTATAAGGAGAACACCACCAACAGTGACATCCCCTAAACTCCGCAGAAGACCTTACCGAACCTGGTAACGAAATGTTCGGAAACCATCCCACAAGCTCTGAAAACAAAACTCCACCCTCTACCTACACCCGAAGTACAAATATTCACCACTTGTGATGACCCGGGATGTGGTACAAAGGCAACACAGTCAAATAGGCAAGAAGAGTCCCTTTATTATCTCCAACTTTGCCAGGTTACCTTTGGCTGGAGAAAAGCTCTCCCAGGAACAGTCTTTAACTGGAGAAAATTCAATCCAAAACAAGGAACATACAAACTGTAACTAAAAATTCAAACAAACCAAGTTGCAGTAATTAACTTGACAGGGCAGGAGAAGGAATTTCAGACTTGAAAGCACGGCAAAACTCACACAGTTGGGAGGATGCCAGGAACGCAGATAAGCCACGGCTATACCAGATAAATTCACAATTTGCTCCCAACAGGTTGCTGCGCGTAACTTCCCTTTTTAAACACTGTGTTACCAGCTGCAGCTAAGGAAGGGAATCAGGGCCCTTTCCTTCCCAGTAAGCCATGCAACTCACATTGCTCCCTTCTCCGTTTCTCCCTGCGTGCCCTAGGATGAAGAGGGGGTGGGCCTAGGTCTTCCTCTGAATTCCCTCTCCCTTGTTCTACCTCTCCCTTGTTCTACCTCTCTCCTGCTCTGCCCAGCCGGCCTTTGCCCTTCCCAGTTTCCTCCACAGCCAAGGGAGCTACACTCCCACTCCCTGTAGGCTGTTGGGCCTCCCCCTCCGAATCGGATTCCGACAGGGGCACGACACCACTACTGCAAAAATAAATAAATAAAGTTGTTGGGTCAAGTTAAAATCCTAGCATTAAAATAGGACAAGTTGAAGGAACCGTACTCCATCGCTGATGACAGTGACAGTAGCATCAGCCACATTCATGGTGACAGGTGTCCACTCTTCTTGGTTGGAGGACTCCATCAGACTTTCTATAGTCCCGTTCAACATGTCCATACCTTCAGAAGAACAGAGACAACAGACACACAACCTTAGAACTTTAGAGGGATTCACAACATGTTGGGTTTTCCTTTGCTTCAAACATTCTTCTCTGGTCCAGATTAACTTTAACTTTAGACTCAAGCATGCTTCTTTTTTTCCTTCTCTCCCTCCAATCTGTTTCTCTCTGCCACTGTATCATCTAGGTTTTAACTCCTGAAGTTACTAATCTTCGTTAAGCTGCTGTGGGAACCTTCTCTGAATGAAAAAAAAACCCTGCCCATTGGCTTTACAAATGCAATGCAGTCTGGGTCTTAGAGCTGGGCTTGAAACTCTGTGGGCCACTTAGGGTGTGCATTCCCACCATATATTAAGTTCTCGCTGGGGGTTTCGATTTTGAGTGGTTTAATGTGTTTTATGAACATAATGTGTTGTATGAAAGGACACAGTGGCTCAGTGGATAAGAAGCCGAGCTTGTCAATCAGAAAGCCGTGTAATGGAGTGAGCTCCCGTTCCTTGTCCCAGCTTCTGCCAACCTAGCAGTTTGAAAGCATGTAAAAAAAAATGCAAGTAGAAAAATAGGGACCACTTTGGTGGGAAGGTAACAGCGTTCTGTGCACCTTCGGTGTTTAGCAATGCCAGCCACATGACCACAGAGATGTCTTCGGACAGTGCTGGCTCTTCGGCTTTGGAACAGAGATGAGCACTGCCCCCTAGAGCCAGAATTGGCTAGCACGGATGTGCAAGGGGAACCTTTTTACCTTTACCTTTATTGAACCTAGCAAATCTGTTTAGCTTGGGTTCAATGGATCATGTGGATTCCATAAAATTCAGTATTGGTAGAATATTTGTAGCTCAGGGTGGAACTGTGGAGTGGTTTGGTGCTGTCTGAGTTTGATAATTTTCTGGCTGATGTTTCATGACCCAACCAGGGAACTTCATCAGTTAACTTTTGTCGCACATCAGATGATAAGTTATGAAGTCAGCACTGATGATGTTACCTAGTTGGGTCATGAAATGTCTGTGAGAAAATAACCAAGCTCAGAGATCATGAAGGACCCCCCAATTAGTATCTGACTAAGAATGCTAGGGGGAATAGTGTGTGATCTTAGGTTTTATCTTCCCCAGCGTAATTCCCCAGTTTAGTGACAATCAAATTAGATAAAACCTGAATGCACAACTCTTGAAAACTTTGCTATTCTTCTCGCCTTGACAGATATAATCCTGTTAGCCTTCTTCCAAATTTCCAGCAATTCCCAAATCATAGAAAAACTAATTATATCCTTTACGACAGG